GCCCGGCATTCCAGCAACTTTCCCGCGTCGAGAAGCTGCTGGTGGTTCTACTCGAAGACGTCCGTGGTGATGCACGGGCGTCGGACCCCCTAGAACTGGAACGTCCGGCCCGGGGGGCCTTGCTGGAACGTCCTCGCGCGCTGCTGGAGGTAAGCGTGTGTTGCTCCCTTGTTCGTGCACCCCTATTGCTGAACTCGACGTCCCGACTCTGTGCTGTTTCGTTTCTTTCGTCCTGCATTACGACCTCGTCAAATTCGGGTACTCTGTCCCTGTTAGTCCGGGGCAATGTGAAGTCTGGGCGGTGAAAACCTTGCAATGAAGGTGAAGAATTTAAGTCATCGTTCTCGCCCTTCGGCTTCTTTGTCATCGGATGAGGAGTCATGCCTGTGGACTCGTGTATTCCTTATCGCACGCATGACATCGGGGGAGCTCGACATCGGCTGTGCCGACAAGCGCCTGCCACGGTCGGGGCTTCCTCCGTCTTCGTCATCCGAGTCAAGAATGGCCTTCTGAATTGCGTCAGCCGTTGCATGATCAACTGTCACGTTCGCTAGCGGGTCTGCGCCTGAGGCGAGCCCGACGCATCCATCAGGGAGAGGATCGACATGATGCGATGGACCGGGCGAAGTATGGAATGGGGCATATTCTTCGTTCTTTTCAACTGAATGCGAACTGTCCCTTTCCGATTGTAAGTCGCTCACATCCTCACTCTGTCCATGCAGCGCGAGTTTGCGATGCGCGTTCTCAGCCAGGATTTTCGACGCCTGACATTCCTATGGAGACGTGGTCCAAACAACTTCTCCATCTCAAGATCTGAATACGCGTGTTCTACCGCTGCTGGCGGAAAGCCGGGGGGGGCCACTGCCGGTTCGAGCCCCCCCCCCCCCCTCCGGAAAACCGGGGGGGATCACTACCGGTTCGAACCTTCCCCCTCCCCAGCTCATCATGAAAAGGGAAGGGGGGCACTGCCGGTTCGGACCCCCCCCCCTTTGAAAACCGGGGGTGGGTCACTGCCGGTTCGACCCCCTTCCCTCGAAAACCGAGGAAGGGTGCGGGCAGTGGTGGTGGGGGCAATGGTGAGGTGACAGCGGGACTGCGGTGGGGACAGTGGTGGGGACAGTAATGGTGGGGGCACTGGTGAGAACAATGGTGGGAACAGTGGGGACAGTGGACAGTGGTGGGGACGGTGGTGGTGGAGACAGTGGTGTGGAGACAGTGTGAATTAAGTGGAAACAATGGGACAGTGGAGGGTACAGTGGTGGTGGGGGCAGCGGTGAAGGCGGTGGCGAGGACGGCGGTGGGACAATGGGACAGAAGTGCAGCGGGGACAGTGGTGGGGACAACGGGGACAGTGGTGGGTGGGAACAGTGGGGCAGCTCATTGGGACAGAGGAGGAGTTAGTGGGACAGTGGGGACAGTGGAAATAGTCGGGCAGTGGCTGGGGCCGTGGAGCCGTGGGGGAGTGGGGAGAGTGGAACCGTTGTGGGAACAGTGGTGAGGACAAGGGGGACAGTGCGACAGTGGTGGGGGCACTGGTGGGGACAGTAGGGACGGTGGTGGAACCAGTGGGGGCAATGGTGGTGAGGACAGTGGTGCTGGTAACAACAATGGGGGATGTGGTGCGGACGGCGGTAGGGTCCCGGAGTCGCTTGCTGGCGGTGAGTGTGGTGTGGGTGGGGGGGGGGAAGGGTTCGAACTGGTAGTGACCCCCCCTCTGGTTTTCGAGGGGTGGTGGTGGTTCGAAGTGGTAGTGACCCCCCCCCCGGCTTTCGAGAGGGAGGGGGGGGGGGCTAGGGGAGTGTGGGGGGTTTGCCGGGGGAGGGGAGGGGGAGGGGGAGGGGGGTCCAGCAGGGGGGGGGATTTTCGGGCGGGTGGGGTGGGGTGCCGGGTTCCGGAGGAAGAAGGCGGCAATTTTCCACAGTAGAGCGGCGGTGGATCACGCTGTCTCCAAGATCTAGGTCAATCGATGGCTGGGAGCCCGGATGTACCGACACCAAATCAGATGGTCCCTCCGCGGAAGTTTTGGCTGTGCCATACCTTCCGCCCGAGATTTGTGCTGTAGACCTGGTCACCGAGTCCACCGAGGAATCCCCCTCTGTCAAGTCAAACACAGTCTCTGATGCTTGCCTTCTGGGAAGATTGAGAGAGTTTGGTCGTCTCGTAGAGGCGGCCACACCTTCGCTACGCTCGGGAAGGCATAGATCTTCTGTTCGCCCGAGCGCTCCTTCCTGTGACCCCATGCTCTGCGAAGCCAACGGCAATGCCGTCGTTTCGGCTGATCACCAATCTTTTGCCTGGATATTCATAATCTCTGCATTCTGTTCCGTTGATATATCATGGTCAGTGGGCTTCGCCGATGACGTGGGGAAGAAGGGATCATGCCGTCAAACATACACTAGGGTAAACTGAAGGGAGGAGGCCGGCCCGCCGGCCGACGCACGCGCGCGCCGCAGGCTCGCTCCTTTTCCGTTTCCCTAGAGCCAAAGTGTAGCTGCAGGAAAGAAGCAGTCAACGCAGCAGACAGTGCATGCAAGGCTAGAGAGCAGGATGGGCAACAGGATGGTGGTGCGGAAAGGGTGCATGGACTCATTTCCCACTGTTCCCCGAAAGATTTCAACACCGACTCGGTGAACACATAGTAGTCCGATAACCTGTCCAAGCTCCAGCTGCAACGTTCGGCCAGATCGGCTGATCCAAAAGGCAGGGGGCGGCGGCGACTCGCTGTAGGCGTTTTCGATCCGCCGCCTCCTGCGCTCGCTAAATTTCAAAAGGTTTGAACCCTTCTAAGAAGTTCCCAATGGAGTCTCGATCCATCTAGCCGGCCAGCCACAAAATGCGGCTCCCAACTGTTTTTCCGCCCATGAAGAGCAATCCAGCTCCCAATTGCCTTTCCCGCCCATGATGTCTAAGATAGCCTCCAAACTGGCCCCAAGACGTCTCAAAGACAATCAAGATGGCCCCAAGAGAGCCAAATATGGTTCCAATATGACTCCAAGACGGCCGCAATCACCTGGGGCAGTGCGTATAGGAGAGGAGGATGAGGAGGAATACGCGGAGGAGGAGGACGAGGACGAGGAGGCGGCGGAGGAAGATCGGCATCATGACATCTCTTGGAACGCTTTCTGGCTAAGATTTTAAAGCGAATCCAACCGTTGCGACGAGGGCCCCATTATAGGCCCAGAAAAGGAGAACGAGACGGAACAACGACGATAGGGCTTCAAGGAAAGGGGCCCTGAAAGAACCAGTTCCTGAACTCTGGGGCCCTGGGAGCACGTTTCATCCTGGGTTGTTCTCTCGACGGCCCAGGGGCCTGTGAATGGCCCCAGGAGGCCGAACCTGGCGAACAGGCTCAAGACCCCCGTCCTTCATACTTGTTTCCAGGTGCTGTTTTAAGAGAGTGGTGTGCAAAGGGAGATGATCTAAGATGGGAAGGGGACCGAGAAGGCGGGCGGTTTCCCGCGCGCCACGGCGCACTTGTCTCCAGCCCCCGCAAGGGCCGCACCGCGCCCGGGGATCCGTAATCCTCGACGGTGAGACGACGAGGACGACGGCGGCAACGAGCATTCCCTGGCGGAGGGGGGACACGGAACAAAGAGTCTGCGCGCCAGCTCCGGTAGCCGGAGCGGTCCCCTGAGGGGCAGACGTGCATCAAGCAAGGGGAAGAAGGCGCACATGGTAAAACGCGCACAAGGGTGCCAACTCACGCATCCGAGTCCCTCGATCTCCGACGAAGTCTCCCGATAGATCGTCTGGCTTCTGTCCAGAACCACGGCGTCCAATTCAACATCCATTTGCTCCATCTGTGCGACGAGAAGAAGCAGGTCTCACTCGAGATGGCACGACCTTACGCGGCGGCTTACGCAGGCAATAAGTGCGGGACGCCAGAATGGAAGCCAGGGCGCTTACGCGCGATCTTACGCGGGACCCTTACGCGCCCATGTCGGTGAAGACGACCCCGCTTTCGTCGGCGGCGCGCAGAGGGGGCAAGGGGGAGGGGGGGAGGCTCCTTAGAAGCGGGCCGCTTCTTGGAAGGCGCGGGTCCTACATCTATTAGACGAGGCCCGCCTCGTCTGAAAAGCAGGGGTGCCGCTAAGACGCCTTCCCCCCTCCCCCCTCCCCCTGCCCCCTCTGCTCGTGGCCGATTTCTCTTGCGTCGCTCGCTCGATCTCCGAAACGAGGGTGCCTCCCCTCTCCCCCTGCCCCCTCTGCGCGTGGCCGATCTCTTGCGTCGCTCGCCTGCTCCCCGTGCCGAAGACGCGCGGGGGCAGCGTGGCCGCACCCGAGGCGCGGCGGCGCGCCCGTGGCTGCGCGCGCGGAAGCGCCCCTGCCGCCCCGTTGGCCGCCGCCGCCGCCGCGCCGTCGGCGTGGCCGTCGTTGCCGCTGCCGCTTCTGCCGTACAGCGGAGGCCCGACCACAAGCAACCTTCCACGAGAAACCCAGCCCCGAGGCCCCAAGAGGTCCACTGATTCTTGGTGCGGGAAGGTCACGCCTCCTGTGGCAACACCACCGGAGCCCAGGAAACCCAGGGCACCCTGGAGGCAAGCAGGGTGTTTCTTGGCATGTGCCCCCACCGTGCGAACGTCGTGCTCCCAGAAGGAGCGCCGATCACGGAACAAGAAAGGAACTTTCCTGGCCACGGAGAGCCGTGTCCACGAGGAGGCTCCCCGACCTAGGCCTGAGGAGCGGCCCGCAAGCCACGGCCCCTCCTGAGTCTCAAGTGGTCCCTGCTTCAGCGTCTTGACTGTCTTCGTTGTCGACGGGCAAAAAGGGGGAAGGGAGCGCGGAGGAATGAATCGGACAATTCGGGCATCTACTGACCCGGGCCAATCCAATCCCGGGTCAATCAGGCTCTGCAGGATCCTGCGCTGCAGGATCCCGCAAGATCTGGCGCTCTGGCTGACCCCCGTTTGCATTGACCCCCGTCTGAGGGCACCCGAATAATGCCGTCGTCGCCGGCGGCACCAGCGCCGTCGGCTTGGCTTGGGGCCCCCGCCCCAGGCCTCCTCGGCGTCCGCCGCGGGCGGGAGGGGCGCCTCCGCAGTCGGCGTCGTCGCTCGGCATGACGGTGCCCTGTGGCGCGGGGGTGGCTCTCCAGGGGGGTAATGCTCGGGAGGCATCTGTGCAGCACCGCCACGCCTGACCAGGAAGCCGGCCTGGCAACGCTGCCCTGTGGAGCGGGGGGGGTCCTCCAGAGGGGGTTTGAGCAGCGACCGACCGTCCCGGCATTCCTATAGGCCTACCAGGAAATGTTCTCAGACCCCCCAAATGTTCTAAAGTTAAAACAATGTTCGTAGAACATAAGCCCGCACGACAGACCCAGCCATAAATGTTCTAAAGACATGTCGTGCAAACCACAATTCTTAGACACCTCTTTGGTAGGCCTACAGGCGAGCCATGCCGCTTCACCACTGTTTGAGGGGTGATGTTTCGGAGGCGCCTGTGCAACACCACCATGCCCGGCCAGGGAACCCGCCTGGACCCTAACACGGTATGTGCGCCTCCCCCGCGGGGGGGCCGCGAGTCTGTGCACCGGCTGTAGGCCCAGGGTGGCACTTGCCGTGCATGGTGGCGTATTTCCGCTGCCGTCCGCGGAGGCTGGTTGGCTGCGAACTGGGGGCCACCGTGTGCGAAGATGAGAAACATCTGGCGGGCCGACCTACAAGCCAAGATCTGTACGAACTCACGTTGAAACCCGCCCTCCGGCTGCTCCCGCTCCCCCCTCTCCTCCCCATTCTTCGTTGCGAAAAACAAGCAACTATTCGTCGTACTGCCAGTCGTGTCGGAAAGGCGGGCGGGGTACACCGCTTGAGAATCCGACAAGCCTTCTGGGCGTATGTAGTTTAACGGATTTCGCCTTCTCTCTGCCAAGATTCCCTCCTTCCCCTGCTCGGGGGAAGGGTGATCATTATTCTTGTTCCTTTTCAAAAACAGTACCAAACACACTCTAAACTTCAAATTCGGAACATGCGTAACCAACCCGATGCGCCCCCATCCCTGTCAGCAACAATACAACACGCAAGTTTGGGGAACACTTTCTAACATTTTTTGACGGGCGGCGGGGGTGATAGCATATTGCTTGCTGTGCGCAAGGCCATCTTCCTGTCAAACAAAAACAATACAAAATGCACGTCGCGGCTAAATCCGGATCGTGCGCGGCCCCCCCCGCGATCACTGTCAAGTGGTTTTCGACAAGGGCGGCGGGGGCGGTGGCGCACGGCCTTTTGTGCGCAGGCCCACCAAACACACCCATGGGCACTAACTGTCGACAAGGATGGTCGGGGCCGACATGATTCCCGATGTGTGCTGTCACGTGCGCGGGCGCACCTGGCACAATGTGCACGTGCCCCGAACGTGGCGCACCTGGCGCGGCTGGAGTATGCGGTACCTGGCGCATGTGGAGCACGTGGCGCCTCTGGCGCACCAGGCGTGCCTGGCACCCTCGGGCACCAGAAGGGGCCTGGCGCGCTTTGCCTTGCACGCGTGGCGCACATCGCCGCAGCGTCGCGCACCTGGGGTCGGTTTTGGCTCCCATCGTTCGTTCGCCAGCCATGTCGCACGACACATCGGCTCAGCAGGGGGAGACATGCACGCCGCCTAAGAAAAGCGGCAATGGGAGATTGCACCTACTATCTATGGGGCCAAGGAAAGACAATATTGTTGACAGTTGCATTACACATTGCTTGTTCATGCGCTGCAAAACGAGGGCTCATGAATAATGCGCACAGCGCCTCATGAGGATGGGGGGGGGGGGACGAAAGGGGAGGGGGGGGGGGCGGGAGGGGGCGAAGGCAAGAGGTCATCGCTAGCCTAGCCTACTCACAGATCGCCGTTGTCCATCTCAAGCGGGGTCGTTCTCGCGCTCGAGCGCCAGCCAGTCGCGCTGGTTCCAATGGCCCAGGCGCCAGAACAGCAGCCCGCAGTGGCGACTCGTCTGGCTGGGAAGCAATCCGCCCATGAACCACCAATTGCCGCATCCACGCTGCAGCGCTCAGTCGATGTTGGCGAGCTTGCCGCCTGACTGCTTCATTCGATATGTGCGAGATCATTGAATGCGGCGCGTTGTAGATCCTTCGCAGACAACGAGCTTGGAAGGCGTCGATATTGTTTTTGTCCGCCTGGCGTAAATCAAGCGTATCCAGGCTATGCAGCATCTTCGAAACCACGCAGGCATGGTACATCTCCATCTTCCTGGCGCGCGTGATGTTCGCATGCTTCCAGACACTGAGCAACGTGTCGACGGCCGCCGATGCTTCGCCAAGCCTGCGCGCGATGGCGGCCCCTGCAGACCCATTTGCCTTCAGAAGACGGCCGAGATAGATGGCGCTGTTCGCCGGCTTGGTCAGCGCGCCTTCGGGCGTGAACGCGCTCGCGTTGTGGCGGACTTGTAAATGAATCGTTCTTGATAAATTCGGTTCCAGTCCACGCGTGCTGCCTCGATGCAATAATCTCTCCACGACGAACTGCAGTCGCGGAGTGTTGCCTGATATCAGCGCAGTGTCGTCGGCGTGCTCTATGTCGACGTGGATGTCAGTCGGCGGGGCCGGCCCGAAGACCGCCTGAACGTCCCCGTCGACGTCGGCCATGCTAACTGCGAGAACGATAATGAACAAATATGGGCTGAGCGGGCATCCCTGTGCCCGTCTCTTGCGAATGAACTGCAGAAGGGCCCCGTCGATCTCGGACCTCGAACGTTCGGCCGCCATGAATGGCCGAGATCATTGCTACATGACGGTGTGGCAACCCAAAATCTGCAAGAGCATCATCTCCCGCCTTGAAGACCGCCGTTGCAACTGAATGCCGCCAGCTCCGCGGCATCGCCTACTGCCGCCAAAATCTGTTGCGCATGTCTAAGATGACCTCGCCAGCGCCCGGCTGATCTCGGAGTGATTGCCAGATGTCCGGGGGCGCGTCGTCGGCGCCTGCCGCCTTCCAAATCATCGCCCCCCCCCGGAACAGCGCCCGCTTCGCCGGTCGAGAAATCAGCGGGCGACGCGGGCAAGGGGTCGTGCAACCGTGCTCCAATCGGGCGAGGGCGCCCCATGGGTCGCGGCATCCACTGCGCGTCAGCGTAGTAAGTCTGCGCTTTCCACAAGTTCTCCTTGGGCGTTCCTCAGACGCCCCTTCGGCTGCATGCCCCGGCGTTTGAACTTCCGTGCTCCGCCCCCCACCAACAAGCATGTCTTCGAGCCAAGCCTTTCGGCCCCGCTGCGCTGATTGACGCATTTGTCTGGTCGACGCTTTGGGTAGCTCGAACTGGCTGTGGGCGCGCGCCTGGTTTCGAAGAGCAATCAAAACCAACGTAGCCGCGCGAATCCACGGCCGTTGCGCGCGCGGACTGTTGGTTGAGGCGCGCTCGTCCGCTGCTGTCTTGAAGCTGGTCGCAAGTCCCCCGGCTTGGTCGCCCAGTTCAAGGATGCCTCCTGCGTGCTGGGCGGCGTTCGCAGGGGCTGCAGCGAACTCGCCTCGCGCCCGTTGCTGTGTCAACGAATCCAGACTGTGCGTCGACTTCCAGTGTTTTGCCAGAGCCCCTGGGGGATCTATGCTCAACGTGGCTGTCGCCAGAAAACGGTGGGATTCAGAACCAGTGGTCCGATCGGGGCGAACGTCGGCAATCGAATTCCGCCGCAGTCCGTGCACCCGCAAGTGGTCTATCTCTGTGAACTTGGCCGCCGTCGGGGTGTCCATTGGAGACGGGCTCGAATCGAAGTGCGTGACTTTCTCTTGTAAGGGCCTCTCGCAGAACGTGTTGGCGATAATGCAATCCAGAGACGTGCAATGTTCAATCGGCATATGCAGGTTGCTCGCGGCCCCAATCGTCGCTTCGGAATTGCCAAACACACCGGCCTACCACGTCGGACTCTTCGTGGACCCCGCTGGGGAGCCGTGCGTTGAGGTCACCAAAGGTGTAGATGGGCCCGTGCATGCTGATGCTCGTGGTCAAACAATGCGCATTGCTGAGAAATCGTGTCGCTCTTCGAATGCGACGCCAGATTAGGGGGTGCAAGCCGAAATTATTGCCGTGGAGCCGCCGGAAACTCTGATTTTCACGCTGGCCAATCGGTTGCTGCGCTGCGCGAATCCCAGAATAGAGTACCTGGCCCGACGAGATTAGAAAACCCACACCAGCATATCCTCGCTGTCCCTCTGGTTCTCCAGATAGGATCAGCAGGCAGCCGTCGCAGATGAAACGTGGCGCGGCTTGGATGTGCGTCTCTTGGAGACGGACGGTAGTAATGTCACTTTCCCTCGTGGTGCTCACGATTTGCGCCGCTTTCGCATTGTTTGTTGAAATGCCGAACCCTTCCACACTCCAGGGTGCAATTGTGCGACGCTTTGCTGGAACTCGCGGGCGAGGGCATCGAGAAAGTCATGGGCGCCCTCGCTGCCGGCGAAAACCGCCCGGCACGTGATGGGCTGGAAAATAATGAGAGCGAGGGTCCGGGCATGGTGAAACGCGCGGTTGCGAGGGCGAAGTGCGATGACCATGCCGATCTCCAGTGTCTCCTGCCTGCTGGCTGCCCTGCTGAAAACCGAAATGCCGCGCAAGTTCCTAGTGGCGCTGGGCGCCACTAGCGACTTTTACCTTGTCCTTGCCCTTGTCCGTGCAGGCGCGTTGCAACTTGCCCCTCTGAGTCTGCGCCAGGCCCTTCCACTCCTGATCCTCCTTCAGGCGCTCCTCCCACCCCGTCCCAATACTGATCTTCAAGATGCCTTCCTCCACCGTCCCCTCGACAACCTTATCTTTCCCAGGGTAAGGGCGTCGGCGCCGCCCTCGGCCCGCGAGCTGTCCTGGTGGGCCCTTCGCAATGCTGTTAAAATGTTGAATGCGCGATTCACTCGCCGAGCAATTCGCGCTGTAACAATAATGTAAGCGTTGCAGTGCATAACAACTCTTGACGGTCATGCCGCAATTAATTGGGCTTCGATTCGTCGAGAGATCCGAACAAGAGAAGCCGCATGATTGGCGAGGCCAGCGACAACAAGAAACTCGGATAGGGATTTTGAATCGAATTTCCCACAGGTGGAAAGGGCCCTGCATCGCCGAGGAAGTAGGATCGTGCTTGCCAGGG